TTTTTTCTTTTTCTTTTTTTTAAAGTTTATTTTGAGAGAACAAGCGAGTAGAAGAGGGGCAGAGAGAGAGAATCTCAAGCAGGCTCTGTGCTGTCTCGGGGCTCGAACTCACGATCTGTGAGATCATGACCTGAGCTGAAATCAAGAGTTGGATGCTTAACTGACTGAGCCACCCAGATGCCCCCCCTTTTTTTCTTCTTTATAATTTTTTTTAACGTTTATTCATTTTTGAGAGAGAGAGCATGAGCGGGGGAGGGGCAGAGAGCGAGGGAGACACAGAATCCGAAACAGGCTCCAGGCCCTGAGCTGTCAGCACAGAGCCCGATGCGGGGCTCAAACCCACAAACTGTGAGATCATGACCTGATCCAAAGGCTTACGCTTAACCAACTCAGCCACCCAGGCACCCTGCCCCTTCTCTTTTCAACATTGTACAAATCCCATATGATAAAATTCATCTTTAGTGCTGTTTTGAAGTAAAGCTAGGAAAGATTTTCAGGTCTGGGTCGCATCCCTCCGGCCATCCCAAGGACACTCCTTGGGAAGTCCTCTGTCTTGTGCATCAGTGTCCTCTTTCTCTTCCAGACCATTCCCATTGTAGTGGGTTGCATGGTGGCTCCCCCGAATGACGTCCATGTTCTAATCCCTGGAACCTGTGAATATCACCTGATGTGGGAAAGCAATGAATGTTCCCTTACGCGGATCTTGGGAGGAAGAGTTTATCCTGGATTAGCTATCTGGTGGCCCCTAGATGCCATCACATCCTTGGAACTAGACACGCAGAGAAGAAGGAGGAGGCCAAGTGAAGATGGAGGCAGAGATGCGGGGTGGGGGTGGGGGGACAGCCACCAGGAGCTGGGAGTGGGACGGATTGTGCCCTAGAGCCTTGGGCGGGGCTTCCGGCCCCTAGAGCTGTGAGGGGCCACATCTGTGCAGGCCTGTGTGGCCCTCCGCAGTAAGCTGCTCCCATGAGCCATCCTCCCACTGCCTCCCCTGGGTCGCCCTGCGGTGCCTCCATTCTGGTCAAACCTAAAGGTCACTTCTGGGCCCCATTGCACACGTGTTCTCAGTAGCTC